GCCGATGGGGAAGGGCGGCAGCCGCCACGAACACAGGAGACAGCCGCACAACGGCTTCCGCCCCAAAAACAAAGGCGGCGCCAAAAACCCAGAGGCCTCGTTGGGGACCAAGACCCCTGAGGCCCCGGCCCATCCGGAAAAGCCCCGGCGAAGGCAGCACGCTGCAGACAGCGCAGAGGCCAGGCCTTTCCGGGGGAACATGTCCAGGGTTTCCCAGTGCAACCTCTGCCCCACGAGGATAGAAGTTTCCACAGATGCCGCTGTTCTCTCCGTCCCAGCTGTGACGTTGGTGGCCTGAGAGAGGGGAGGAAAAAAAAAAAGCAGTTTTCACTCAGTTTCGGTTCCCTGCCCGAGGTGCTGACCCAGTTCGCTGCCAAAAGAGAGTCCATCCAAATCTACAAACCCCGAACGGCCGTGTCATCCTCTCTTAACCATTTTTACTAATTCTAATAATCAGCTCTAGCTTGCTTCATAACTTTCATGGCTTTGCTTGATCTGTTGGCGCTTTTTCTCATCCAGACATTGCAGCATTTTAGCCAGGCAGTATTTACTCATTTGTTAGGAAAATCAACATGTGGCTGAAGGTCAGAGGCTCAGTAGCAACCTATGTTGTAGCAGTGATGTCAGTCCATTGATCGTCCTTAGAGAGTTAAAGTTGGAAAAAAGAATTCTTATTGATCAGACAAACATGATCTGCTGAAGACACATGCGCTTTTGTAGAATTTAACATCTGGTGTTTTTCTGAAATATATATATATATACATATATTGCTTTATTTGAAACAAATTAAAATATGCAGCATTTGACACCTGGCTTGTTTTTTATTTGTTTGTTTGTTTGTTTGTATCTTGTAATTGTTGCCCGCTTTATAATTAAATGTACTGTGTAGTGCTTTTAAGAAAACTCTAGAGGTTTGGGCACAGAGCTCTGTACAGTATCATTTCTCTCAGGACAAGTAGCCTTTCAGACAAGATCATGCCTCACAATGGCCCTGCCAGTACATTACACACATTATAGATGGATGTGTACCCCAGCCATCTTAGACACTATGTGATAGTTTGGAAACTTTGGTTGCAGGTAACATAAACCTCGGCGCAGGCTAGTTTAAACGATAAAGAAAATGTATTGGTTCGGTGGCTGAAAAGCCCAGCATCGAAGTCTGCCTTGGGTCCAGCTGGATCAGAACTCCAGCTCCTTTCTCTTGATTATCTCAGCTCTCCCTTCCTCCTCAGGCTGACACTATATTCAGAATGGTGGCAAACAGCTGCCTCCCTCCTAAGATTCACATCCATCCCCACACTGTCCAGAAGAAAAGAGAAGCTCTCCAGGTAGCATCCACAGGGAGCAAGGGTCTTTCTCAGAAGTCCCAGCAAGGGTCTTGCATATCGTTGGCCTAGACTGCTGGTAAGCGGGTCCCTAAACTAATCATCAAAGTTGGGGAGGGAGCAGCAAATGAGATGTGCTAATTAGCATAGACCAACCAGAGCCCACCCCCGGAGATGGGACTGACGGGCTCCCCAGAAGCACAAGGATTGTGTGGAGAAGGGGTCCTGTTACTTGAGGAAGGGAGAATGAATACATGGGGGGCACACCCCAAGTAGCCCCAAGTTCTCGGTCTTTTAAGTGCAGGACAGCTCCCTTTGACCACTGCTTCCATCGAACTTCCATGTGTCCTGCAGATTTGTTGGCCTCTTTCAAGTTCAAACGCTTATTTTCAGCTCAATGTTAACATTTTTTCTGGCAGCCCAGGTTCGATGGTTCTCTTCCACAGAGCAGCCTTCAGCAGCTGAGCCTGCACACCATGCAGGCATCCATTTCTTCTTTTGCCAAGTGCGGGAGGATGTTTGCTCTCTCTGGAGAGAACTTTCTGAGGTCTCTGGGTGTACCCAGAGATTTAATAGGAATTTTAAATGTTAAGTCACATTCTGGGAAGGAAGGAAGAGTTGTTTCTTCAAATAAGAAAGATAAATGTTCAAGACTGCAATCCCTGTTTATTCCATCTGAGGCCCTGGATTTATATTTTACAAGACAGAAAAGACTTTCACAAATTTTGTATACTAAGATTTGGCTCAACACAGAAGAATGTCAGTTTAAATGTGACAGCTTTAAAGATGAGTCAGATGGTTCTTGCAACAGGAAAACCATGAGTTCGGCAGGTCAGGAGCACACCTGCCTTTGTCAGGGGTGGACCTCCCCACCCTCAACCCGCTCATGCTGCTCTCGGGGTTAAGAAAGCTCACTTGCATTCCTAAGCACATAGCAAATGCTCCCAGGTCACTGAAAAGAAACAAAAAAGAATGCTAAAAATTATTCAGACCTGTTTATGTCTGTTTCCTAGATTTTGCCTTTCCTGTAGACCCTGGGCATGTAAACATTTACCAGTTTGCATTTTTGAAATGGTAATTTTAATATTTTACTGCCAGGGTCAGACCATTGAAGTACTACATTATATATCTCCATCTGTTCTGGTGGAATCATTGATTTCTAGTGATACTAGAAATCTGGGTTGAATTCTGCCATTCTTTTAAAATGTTTTAAACTTCTTCACAATATGAATCCACGGGCTATGAGCACTCTCTACTTAATGCACAATAGCCACAAGAATGGATTCTTCTCTCTCAAACATTTCTCTAGGAGAGGTTAAAACATTCCGATACCCAGGAAGGTTAAATAACTTCAAAACTCACCTATATTGTACCACCAAGACTCCATGTGTTAAATGCAAATCTCCCTGTTGGGTTCCCAATTACATTCCAAATTTACATTTCATCTGAGAATCTCTACATACTCCAGCTCTGCCCAGTGGAGCCTATTCTAGGGGTGCTGAATGCAGCGAGGCTCAGAGGTTAAACACAAGTTGGCACAAAATTCACCCTCACGAAGGGCTGGACAAGAGTTTGTGGGGGAGAAACACATACTATGTCTAATTGAAAGCTCAGTTCACTCGCACTTCAATTCTGCTGATATCAGAAAAAGAGATTCTAAGTTGACCTTCTTAGGGAAGCATGATATTAAGAGGAAGTTAGCAGAGCAAAAGCGACTTGCAGATTTTTGCCAAAGTAAGATTTAGGGGTTCTGACTCTGAAAGCCTCGATCTCGATTTAACCAGAAGAGGGAATCCAGGGCCTGGACAGTTCTCTTCCTAGGGCAAGGTGGGGCAGGTGGGTTGGGGGTGCGGGGAGAAGGGGGAACAGCAGAGATAAAAAGGGAGATGCTGAATTCAACACTACCTATGACTATGCTTTCTCCTGTCCTCCATCCGCCTCTTTCCATACTGTATCCTAGGTTGCCTTTTTAGAGTGCCCTCTTGTGTCTACAGATGGTAACACGTTCAATTCTCAGCAAACATTCTAGTTACAGCATCCTTAAAATATGTAATGGTACCTTTTTCTTCAATACCACACTTGCTTCAAAGCGAGTCCAGATCTAAAATTCAGGCACAGGTGAGCTAGGATTCCATGCTCCCCCAGGTGCCAAAAACCAAAGTAAAAGAGAAAGAAATAGTCCCTTGATCCCAAATTTCCTAAAATGCTAAATAGCAAAAGAAAGTAATAATTAATAAAATAATTATTCAAGTGACTAATACATTGCTCCAGCACTTTCTTAAAAGTACTGAGCCATCTTAACTGCTCTACTGTAGTGAGAAAAAATACGAAGAGTTGCTAGGTCCCAGGGATTTCCTATGTTACTTCGTAATTTGCGGTGCAATTTTAATACTACTTGTTACAAACTGTTACAAGGCTTTTTTCCCCCCATTCTTTTGCTTTTGCCAACAAACCTTTATAAATCCTAAGGGAGTTTTCTGCCTACTCTTGGTTTCCAAGAATCAGGTCCCCAATCCTTGGAGGCAGATCAGCTCAAACGAGAGTTTAATCTCATTACAGCTGCCCCTCAGGCAAACACACCCCCATCTGGATCCAGTCATGCCATCTGAGAAACACACAAGGTTCTTACAAATTCTTTTTGGTGGTTGACTCAGAAGCCCCCTTGTTTGTGAACTCTGCTTCTTCCTACAGCTCAGAAGAGGTTTCAGTGCTACCACTAAGTTCAAGTTTCACAGGAGAAATTCCCACACAGTTTTTAAAGAAGAAATAAATTCAACGGCAAAGTTGTTTATTTGCCTGAAAGAGTATGTAGATTTCTGTATATATATATTTCTTTTTCAGAATCATGACCGTAACAGTGACCAAAAAATATCTACAGAAAATAAATGTATAAAGCTCTTCTTGTCAAAAACAGAAAACTACCCTATTTTTAACTTAAGTTTGAGTTTAATTTACCTATTCCTAGTCTTGTGAGAGAACACATGCTTTCTGTAAATTATTATCTTTATGTAACAAGCTGGCTAGTAACCTCATTACCACTCTGCTAGTGCCTGACACACAGTAGGTACTCAATAAATACAAGGGAGAGAGCAGATATGAAAGAATAACCAACTCTAATACCCCTAGAAAAGTCTGGAGTTTGAATGGCTTGGGCGAAATAACCCAGTAAGTCAATTCTAAAGAAGATGGGAAGAGAGCAGAGCAGCTAAATTTCTGCCCCTGGTGTACATTGCCTGGATTCACATCCCCCTCCCCCCACCTCCTGGCTGTGTAAACTTGGGCGTATTTCTAAACATCTCAATACTGCAGTTTCCCCGTGGGTAAATGGGACTAGTAACTACACCTTGTCACAAGAAGTGAATAAGTTAATATTTGCAAAGCACTTAGAGTAATACCTGACACTTTGTATGGAGACAGGAACCACAGAGTAATTTGAAAGGGGACACTTTAAAAAGTATATGGGGAAGCTTTAGAGAAAGAGAAATGTATGTATATATGAAGTAGTAATTAGTAATGGGGTTAGCTACCAAAGAAAACAGGAATGGCAGATACTGGAACAGTTACTACTAGAGCTCGAGGCAGAGGAAAGAATGTTTGGGAGGGCCCCCCCCCCACTCACCCCTACCCCTAAGGCTGAGATTCTGACCTTGCTGGGGAGGGTGTGACCGTGGCCCACTAGAGGCCAAGAAGCTCACTGCGGTGCCGGCAAGCAAGAAGCCCCCACAGGGCACTGGAGAACCAGGGAGATTTCCTGGAGGAGCTGGCCGGCTTGCCAGGCAACCACCGGCAGGGGTGCCTGCTGAACTCCCTGGGGATCTTGTGGGGGCACCAGGAAGCCTCCTGCGGGAGTGTGGTTGAATTTTCTGGAGATCCAGCAGGGACTGGAAGCTGCTGCTGCTGACACTCGGGCCTCTGGGGGGATCCTACACCCCAACAAAGCACTCACTACAGGAGTAAGAACACAGGGACACACACTGATCAGGAAGAAGCCCTTTCCTCACGCAGTGACCTGTCAGTGGCAAAGCCAGCTGGCTAAAAGGAAGTGCTTGGGAGGTCCAGCTCCCGGATCACAAGCAGGACAGTGAAGAGTGGACGTGGAACCAAGAGGCAAAGAGTCGCTCCCTGGCACACCCTTAGAAAGCACTGTAACAGTATTTGACAAATAAATCCTAGCTCTGCACACAGACGCCTCTATGTCCCATCTGGCTCATCTCTGGGAGGAATGTCGAGCTCCCACAAGAAAGGGCCTAAAATAGTGCTTAAGGGCCTGGACTCGAGGAAGATGATATGCATGTGAATCTTGCCCTTGCCTCGTACTAGATGTTAGGCAGCTTAGCAAACTTCTCTGTGCTTGCTTCTCCATCTGTAAAATGAGGATAGTAATAATACGCCTACATCATAGGGGCTGCTGTATTAAATAAGTTAATATATAAAGGGCTTAGAACAGTACATCTTAGTCTTTATTAGGTAGTTGCTTGGTGAGAACAGCAAACAAACATGTTTCTAATATTATATCAAAACCAGAAATATAAGGGAGAGCTAAAAGGATCAATTTTCTTTAATTGGCAGGCCAAGACATCCTTCCTTTGGTACCATCCTCCCCCTCAGTTCCCAGGGCTTCACTCCTGCCTATGACTGACAGCTCCATTGTTCTTTCACTCATCCACACCCTCCCTAATTAGGAGAGGCAGTTATTAAGTACTTTGGTCAGGTTAAGTCATCCAGCTAAAGCAATGGTTCTCAACTGGGAGTATTCGATTTTGTGTCTGCCTCCCACCCCCAGGAGCCGTTTGGAAGTCTGGAGACATTCTGAGTATCACAACTGGGGCAGGGACGCTGCTCAACATCCCACAGTACACAGTGCAGTTGCCCACAATAAGGAATTAGCCAGTCCAAAGCATCAATAGTATGACGGTTGAAATACCCGGATCTGGAGGGCCCAAGGGATTTGGAGAAAGAAAAGAGAAACAGCAGATAAGCAAGGCCACGGTGCCTCGTTCCTCCTGCTACACTGGGTTCCTGGTTGATTCAAGCTACGCTACAAAATCCAGACTGTCTGGCCCACAGCTGGAGTCTAAATGCACAATTTCTAATGTCCTTGGGCTATTCATGTCATCTACATAGAAGTTAAGTTCCTACCTCTTCCAAACCAAGAAATTAGGGCATAAGTTCTTGAAAGAGCTGCTATGAAGCAGAATGTCCAAATCTTTAAGATATCTTGGCAGAAGGAAGCAATATTTGCCTTTTTCCAACTTTAACAAATATACTACCTTTTTCTTTCCATAAAGTGCTTTTTGCTGAAAACAAGCTTCTCTTCTAAGCTTCAGGCCCCCAAATTCATTTCTGGAGCTGAGCAAAATTTTACTAAGGTAATGAGGGCTTTAGGGTAAAAGAAGGGGAAGTATGAGAAGCAACATTGTAAAATGAAAAGTTGTTAAGTAAACAAGTAGGACAGAATACTGCCTGACAGTTACCGTAAAATTCTGTTTGTCTTAGCCACAGCCTACATCAGGAAGTGTCTAGCTAGCAAATATTAGATGTGTATGGGCTGTCTGAGGCAACACATGTGAACAAAATAAAATTAGCTTTTGTGTAACAATGTAAACCATGTGTAGCTCATGAGGCTGACGAGACTATAAGTGAAAACAGTCCCTTTGAGGCTGCACCACCAACCAAATTCCATGAATATGAAATTCGGAAAACAGCTGGAAACCACCGTGGGTTTTTTTTGTTTTTGTTTTTTTCTGTTAGCTATTCATGCTGTTTCCTTTTCTGGCTGTACTGCATGCTTGAAATCCTGCATTTGACTTCATCTGATGGAAAACTGCAGCCCTCAAACACAGGATCACTCATCCACTGTCCACTGGCTGAGAACTCAGCAACTTGTTGACAGTTTTCAAGGGAGAGTTTCAGCATATGGGAAAATGACAGTATTTTCCATAATTAAAAAGTTCCTGGTTAACTGAGGGATACACATAAATCATTTAAAAATACTTTTCAGTTGCTATACTAGAAGCTCCTTCCCTTCATTTTATTAAATCCATACTTTCTACTTAGTATCTAACCAACATCCTACCAAATGTAGACTAAAGCTAGTCAAAGGGATTGCAGGTATAAACAAGGCCATTCTTTGTAAGGCATCTCTGTTTATATAAACGTTAACCTTCTTCCCTTTACAGAACAGTTTACTACCATAAGGCTTTGTGCACATTCAAAATGTTATTTAAATAAAAATTCTTCCATGAACAATTTCTCAGGTAAAGCCAAATAGACTTCTACATTAATTCCTTCTTTAGAAATCAAGGTAGAGTGGAGAATAATTATACTGTATTTAACCATAGACTGGGAAGTGAATCAACAATTTTTTTCAATGTTAGCACTTGCTAAGGAAACAACAGAGTTCAGTCTGTGAATGAAAAAGAAATTGCATCAGCAATTCTAGCAGGAGCACAAAGCCGGCTGCTTTTTTCCTTTCTCGGAAGTCAGGCAGCATCTGTCTGACCTCTGTGGAGTCTCATGATCCATGTCTCTGAACTACTTTGCAAAGCTGGTCAAGGTATATACCTGTTATGGCCATTTACTAGTGGCAATTGTGGTCATTAGCAATAATCACTGAATTAAGGAACTTCTACTAGCCACCTTCTTTGTTCTGACAGGATAAATTCTGCAAGGTTGGAAATCAGTTTCTGCACACCCTGAAGACTGCTACCAGACACATTTTATAAAATAATTGGGGTGGGGGGGATCTGCCCTAAGTGTCAGCAATTTACTGGAGGCCTGCTGTGTACCAGGCATTTCAAGTACAGAAGTGACAGAGAAGAAGTAACCTAGAAGACAGACATGTAATCTAATACATAATACCTTCCTGCTCAAAAACGTTAAATATTAAACAAATTCTCACTTTTACATCTACTTCTCCCCTCTAGCTTTTCCTTTGGTCAGTGATGCTGTGTCATCCTGTAGAAATTAGATTACGGAGCTGAAATGGGGGAGGAGGGTCATTACTGTATAGCCTTAACTTTGTTGGACCTCATTTTCCTGATCTTTAAAGAATTGGGAAAGACTACCTTCATACTCTATTCTGCAACTAAGAAGCAAAATGAACACGATGAAATAAAATACATGAAAATACTTTATAAACTGGTAACATAAGGCAATATTGACACAAAAAAACTTATGAAACAAATGAAACAAATCCTTCAGTAGACTGAATGCCAGCCTTAGGCTCTCTACCATATAATTAACCAGTTTTAATCAGGGCAAACCATTTTCCAACACAGATTACCTGGGAGGGCATGGTAAATGATCTTTTTTTTATATGAACAATACTTAAATACTATACTCACCATTCACAATTTCTGCCGTGTCTTCTGATCTAACTACACAAACCTACTTTTCCAAAGTAATGATAATGAATCACTATTTATAAAACATGCTTTCCTTTGAAAAACAATTTATTTTCCAGGAATGGAGGGCAGGGCATTGACTACAACAGGGCCCACGGGAAATTTTTGAGGTGACAGAATATTCTATATTTTGATTGTGACCACAGTTTCATGACTGTATATATTCGTCAAAACTCAGTGTACTTAAAAAGAGTGAGTGGGTTATGATGAGTTACCAGCTTTTTTATGTTTGCAGAGTCTGGTATTAGGAAAAATGAGTTTTCATGTGAAATGAACCTAACTCCCAGGGACCCACACCCAAATAAAGTAATGTTCAAGTTACTGGAGAATCCTGAATTTGATTTTGATTCCTGATATCTGTAAGGGACGGTTTGTCCCTTTCCACCTCAGCTGTGCAACGGCTCAGCAGTTATTCCAAAACCTCTCTTCTTATAAAGGCCAAATGTGCTAAATAGATGTCTCTTAAACTACTTGATGCAAAGAAATGCAGACTGTTGACTGAATCATTCATGATTAATCTTCAACATGTTGCCTTTCCAGACAAATGTTTATCATGTATAAAATACACGTTTATTAGTATAAAATTTTCTTATATGAATCAGCAATTCATAATGTCAAAGATCAAGCAATACTTACAATATCCTAAAGTTCTCAAAACTCACTATGGTCTTTAATTTTCAGAAGGCCTGGATTCTTTATAATAGTATTTTTCAAGGAGACTGAATATTTTATAGATTCCACAGGGGAATATCATTCATGAATCTTTAGTTAAATATTCATTTTTTTTTCCAGCCAAATAAACCACCTTATTGTAAAAGGCTGCTGGTATTTGGATAGCTATCCAAAATTGGTTTAATTATTTCATACATTAACTAGACAAGAAAGTAATTTTGTAAGCAGAAATAGATAAAAGAGATAAATGAACAAGCTTTCAAACTACTAAAGGACTGCAGGGCTTAAAAATAAGTACAGTCACAGAAAATATCACTTTTTATAGAAAAGTTTTACTTTATTTTGTAAAAAGTAATGTTTTGAGTATATTTACTTTGCTCTTTCAAACCAATGCAAGTAGAATGATATGCATTGAGTAAAAAGTACCCTGCTTTATGAACTTACTTTTAACACACTGTAGGCATACTGCTCACGAAAGGCAGAAATATGTGATCCAATTATAAAATATAACATGTAAGTATAAACACATACAACTGAACAGTTGTGAAAAAATAGAAGATTAATCAAAATATTCTGTTTAAAAATATTAAATTCAAGTTATGTGGAACTTTTATGCATAAAAAAATCATGTTGTATAATCAGAATGACTCTTTAAGGGTCATTTCTGAAAAACAAATGCTAACTTTAGTTAAAAAGTTAAACTTTTAACTTCTCTCTTTCAAAGTCCTTTCAAAATTTCAGTATTCAAATTAAGATATTTTAACAATTCATTCCAAAGACAGTTAAACAGCTCTTATTCCAAGAAATCTTGTCATGTATAAATAAATCTGCTAATGGAAAAAGTAAGAAAAGCCAATCTAGGAAAGAAAATAGTTCAGCTAAGAGACAGTCACAGGTGATCTCAAATTGCCTTTTTTTCCCTCCCTATCATTTGTTTTCATGCTACTTTTTGAGAATGAGAGTGACCTGTAGGGAGTTCATCCTGATCTACATTTTCTCTCAAATCACCCCCGTCTGAGACAGCACAGGGAATCGCCCTATTTCACCAGACAGGAAGACCTAAGCCCAAACCTCACTTCTACCCCTGGGCTGCAGTGAGAAACGTTACAAAAGTGCCTAGTCTATGATTATCTCAGCAACAAAGCGGACTTCTCTAGTGATGATTCTGCCGTACTGTTTTGTTGCCTTAATGTTAATTAAACATTAAACACACACACACACACACACACACACACACACACACCACACACACACTCAAAAATCTGAAATTAAAACTGTCCCTAGACAAATAATTTAAACGCTGAGAAAAGAAAAAGTAAATATAAGCCCAACCACTACAGCCTCCCTCCTCCATTCCTACCTGCCCTGATTCAGCCTAAATAGAAACGTAAGTTTTCACCTCCACGGTAGCAGGAAAGAGTGCCACTCTTATTTGCATTAAACGGGTTGGAAGCTCGAAGAGGCAGGCGGGACTTCTCAAGTCCCCGGTTTCCATCAACCAGTCTTGTCCGGCCCGTTCTCAGTCTGTGGTTCCGA